AAAGTACTGAGCATCACAAGGGAAAGGTAAGTGAGAAAGAGTACAACATTTTTATTAAGTGCTGAGACAGAAGAGGGAGAGGAAAGGTTAATTCCTGTTCAACCCATCCTGAAGACAGCACACATTACAAGGGTGCGCTCTAAGCACATGGGAGACAAATTGGATTCAAACTCCCATCTTTCAGCAAGTTACTTGACTGGGCTTTTCACTTGCCATATAAATCACTTGCAAGCACCAGGGGAGAGAAGGCTGAACAGACACTTACAGTCTGCCTTCAAGTACGAGCAATTGTGGTGTACAAAATAAGTGTGCTGAAACCTTTATCTCTTAGATGGCTTTGCAAAGGGTCTCATGAATATCTGCCCTCTAGACTCCCTGAATCACTCACAAACTCATATTTACTACTTTTGTGTGAATATATTTACTGCATCTCCTATATACTCTCTTCTCATTTTCTATTAGTCTCTACTGCCCATTGCTGAACTTTGACAACGCTAAATCTGAAAGCACAGTTGCAAGAGATGCAATGAAACAAACCAATCTTCTGGTAAATGTTATTGTGTGTGTGCTTTTCACAGTTGCTGGTTAAGCCAACATATTGATTTAGATGAGTTCACTCTAGGGGCTCTATTTTCCTGCAAGAGGGCACAGCGCTAAACTTGTGTCTAAACTCCAGGTGCAAGGCACATATGGGCATGTTCAACAGCGTTGTGGAATTTTGGTGCCTACAGGTGCAACACACTTTGTGCACAGCCATGCATTACCGAACACATTGTGGAAGAGAGGTGGAATACATTATTTAGAGGGAGGAATACAATCAGACCAGCTCCTCTCTTTAAAGAGCAGGGCAGAAATCTGGCTGACTGATATCACTGATGTAATGACTTGGAAATATATGAGGAAAGGTTCTGTCCTATAATGGGATGATAACACTATTTATTGTAGAAGTACTGCACATTAATGTTCACACAGTAGTCTGCTAATATCACCAATTTTTGTTTGTGGAAGAAAAAAAGTTTAGAAACAAAGGTATGTCCGTGTGAAACTTGTCTGAAGAAATTGTAATTTAACAATGACAACAGCGCAGTGAGGTTGGACAGACTTTACCTGCTGCCTAACAGGATTAATAGAGATGTCTGCAGGGTGTTTGTTATTTATCTTTACTCATGAGCTGCTTTCATGTGTTATTATGTGTCATTTTTTAATGTGGACTTGAATTTGAAACACAATGACTGCAGATCACCTCTGGCTGCATCCTGTTTGACCATATATACATATCTATAGCCACATATTGGGGACTTATTTAGCCTATTTATCTTATTTAAAATAATCTTTCTAAATTATCATGTCCTGTCTTTGCACTGGTGTTTCTGGGTCCTGTTTCTTCTGGACGTTTGTATAGATTGTTGGCCTTCCTTCAGTCTCCAGTGTCCCCGCATTTTACCTCCAGCTCTTTCCTGGCTTCTGTTTCCTTGTTGTCCAGTCCTGACTTCCACACCCACCACACCTGTCTTCACCACCCTGATTAACTCCCTCAGTATCGATGATTGTCTGTTTCTTTTGTTTAGTGCTTTCACTAGCTTTTGTGCTTTTTGTATGCCTTAGCTGTCTCAGCCTTCCCATTTTCTAGTGTTCCTAGTGTTTTGTTTCATGTTTCTTTGTGTTCTGTACTCTGGCTGTTTTTAGAAGTTTTCCTGTTGCTTTCACCCCCTGGATTTGTTGCCCAGTTTGAACTGTTTATTTACCTCTGACCCCATCTTGTACAACCGTCCAGTGTCAAAATAAAGTCAAAAAACACATGCATTCAGACCTCTTCTGAGAAGACTGTCTCCTAGAAATGACATACATATATACAACTAATTGGTAACAACAGATACCTGTATGTCTTGAAGGACATGGACATGTAACTGCAATCTTATTTCATTTTCTGTTAATGTAATGAAGATATGTTGTTAAATGTAGTGTGCCAAAAAAAAACAACTAGCCACTAAACATAATACAATCAGTGATTACTCTGCCACCATTTCATAATCGGCAAAACAGTTTAGTAGTATATGAATGTACTAAGAGACAGGGTTGTCTGAGCAGATCCCTTCATGCTTCTCTTCCCTTGTCACTAGCACTGAAAATCACTCTATATATTATCGTTATATGGTTAGTGGATGACTCTATCACAAGATGGGGTCCCTGATAGACTAGTGGCTAGGATTCAGCGCTCTTGCTGCTGCAGCCCGGGTTCGAGTCAGGGTTGCGTCAGGAAGGGCATCCGGTATAAAACACGTGCCAAATGTCAACATGCAAATCGTCAGTGTAACGATTTGCTGTGGCGACCACTAATGGGAAAAAGACAAAAGTGACTTTCAGTGCCTAAGCAGCCAATTACTGCTTTCATTCCATTCACTATATTGCACACATTGCTCTGATGAAGACTTCTTCTAGTCATTGACAGTTTAAGTACATTTGCTTCCTCAGCAGCATACACTGTGCAACATATCGATACGTTCCATTTTCTTTGGCTGAAATGGGATTCAGCAGGGCTATGTCCTTTAGCTGTGGACGATGGTCGGTTATGAGGAGACAGGCTACAGAACATAAGTAAGCAACATCACTGTGTGCCCTGGGGTCTGTCCTGCTGAGAGAGAGAGAGAGAGAGAGAAAAGCAATTGTATGTTCATTCAGTGATGTCTGATTCATTTTATTTCCGGCCTAAAACAGACCGGTTTTCTGCTTCACCTTATGGGACAACATAAAAAAGACATGCCAAAAGGTGGCTCTGCTGGAGGCATTTCCTTTTCATTTACAGTATGTTTATAGCAGCTGGAGTACAAACAGGAAGATCTTACCACTGATACTAGAAGTCAGATCAAAGGGTCAATACACAAGGCCTTTAAATGCTGCTTACATGCAATGTATTCCACAGGAAAATAATGTCTTTATACAGTATACTGTATGATGTTATATTCTACTGCGCTGATTTCTGTTCTGGTTCAATGGAGTTTAATTTAATTTAAAGGAATTCTCCAGCATATGTCCAGCTGACACATTACTCTAAGCTCTCAAATGTTTCTGTAGTTCAGTTTCCATCTTGGCGTAACACTGGTCCAGATAGCTTGCAAATTTTTCCTGTCTGTTGGCAGTTGTTTGCGGTTATCTGTATTTTGCAGGGTATGTTTCTGAAAGACAGAGATTCTGCTGTAGAAATTGGTAATATTTTCTCTTCTATGTATGATGCTACAAGCCTGTTCATCTTTTGTTACTTGTTGCTGTTGAAAATCAAGCTTTAGCTGCTCGGCTGGGGTTGGCTACACTCAGCTCTGGGTTCTAGGGTCTTTAGCTGCTAACTTTGTGAGGTGCTTGGAGGTTTGATGTCACACATGAAAAGGCTCATTTGATTTTCTTTTTCTATCTACCCATTATGTGGATAATTGAAGAAGTTATTAAATGCAATTTACTTTATTAACTGTTATGAGATTACCAAATAGGAACAGTAAGCCCAAGTTCAGACTGAGTTTTAAAGGTGGAAAAACCCAGCCCTCATGCCTGACATAACATTACTCTATGACAGACAAATGTAATCCTCATCACTGGTAAATTACTTAAGAGATGGCGTATCACCTGTTTACAAAGAGGCATGAAAAACAGACAAACTCTCTGCCCTTGAAACTTTGCAATGCAAAGTGTTGTGTCTGATAAAAGCTACAGGCACAGCTCATCACTCATTTACATCTATTATGGCCTGGATGGTCATGTTTACATTGTGCTGTGTGCACTTTGAGGAGGATACCAGCAGAGCCAGGTTTGGCTCTGGGGCTTCTCTGAAAAGCTGTTTACAAGTGTTTAATTGATAGGTATGAATACTGGCTAAGTGGTTTCTGTTTTATTCAGTGTTAAATGTACACTCAGTTTTGCTGTATTGCCTCAAAGGCCTGGATGTTTATTTAAATGAGACAGTCCATTGTGTCATATTCATAGAATTATTACATTTCCAAAAAACATGTTTCTTTGTTTTTGTGGAGGAGCTGTCTCTCAACACTGACAGAGAAGAGAAAGGGAGAAAAAACATAAGCTTTGTGAACGTAAGTAACATTTAACAGGAATATAGAAATAAATTATGAATTATAAATGAAAGTACTTTTTAAAACTACCCAGTAAATTGCAGGCTATACCAATGCATAACATTGGAAACACATTTATTATACACTGAAAATGTGTAATGTATGCATGCTCGACATTTGTAAACCTGGGGTCAGATTTGAAGTGTAGTAAATAGGAACCTTCTGGCTTGTGGAACTCATTTTCCACATCCCTACACTGTTGCAAATCCTCATGCAGCTAGATGTTAGACATCCTTTGGCGCATAACAGCAATCCAAGGTCCTTCTAGTTTGTTTTTTTTCAGTGAGAACAACTAGTCAAGGATGAACCCCAGTGTTTTCAGTATTACTAGAATTGATCCTCATATAATTTGTATGCCCAAACTAACTGCTTGTTTACACTGCAACGCACAAGTTATCTAATGAAAATGGTCAATGAAAAACACCCAGGAACCAGCCATTCCAGGTGGATTGCAGGATTACTCATTTTGTCAGCTATCATTTAACAAGTTATCAGAATAATTGTGGTGACTAAATTGTAAATATTTGTAAACACCTAAAAAAACTGTGTTAATGCTGATCCCCTTGGGTGTTTAGACATATAGTTTACAAATGGTAATACTCTACTTTGCACTTAGTTCTTGTAAATCCTAAAAATTTCTCATGTTGTCCTACAGTGGATTCTAAGCACTGTAGCCATCAACCCGCCTCCTGCTAGGTGGAGCGACTAACAGATAAGCCCTCCTCTGCACTGAAGCCAGAAAAAACATTGACTAGTCCATATTCTGTGGAGCAGACAGATTAAATAAGGCTATTTAGACAGATGGATATCTAAAAACAAATCTCAAATGTGCTGCATTAAAGTACATTCTGTTGACTAATGTGTACTGTTACATCTTTCTACCAGTTTCAGCCAAGTGAGTTACAGCACAAGATAACCATTTTACACCTTGTCACAGGTTTGTCACTTCTTATTACTACTGTATAAATAACTGCAAACAAATTTCAGTTTAAAGCATACAATGTTTAGCATACCATTCAAATAATACAATACAATATGTAAAGCTGTTTTAGAGTCAGCACTGTAAACATACTGGTAAGGCTACAATAGCATGAAAAAACAGAGCAAAAGACATACAGGTTTTCAACATATCCCCCTTATTTCCCTGTTTGTGTACATCCACCAAATATGCCGCAATGTGTTGTTCAGTCACCCAGTTAACAGCCCGCTCCTGTTTACTCAGGCCCAGACCTTTTAAGGTGTTTTATTGGATGGGGCTTTGCAGGTTCCCTTTCTCTTCTGCAGATACTGCTACCACCTCATTACAGCCAGGGCTGCAGCCGCTGTGAAATTCCCCAGGGGAGGGAGGCACTGAAGCAGAGGCCAGACATGCCCAAGATATTATTGGGTGAATAAAGACCCTGTAGCTCTGGGATGATCATGTAACAAGATATGTCATGCCCTCATTAAAAAGAAAAAAAAAGGTTAACATTTGAAATCAATCACTTTTTTGTGCTCTTTTTGTTGTCTTATCTACTATCGCTTATCACCACTATGCAGTTTTGTGTTTTGTAATGTAACACTCTTGACAGCACCATAACAACTGAACTAGACATTCTACAGCAGGATCAAAATACTTCACAAAACACAGTGGTGTGACAAGTCACATTTTATAAAATGTTAACTTACATAACTAGCCAAATGACACCACTGGTTTGAAAATAAAACCTTTGTCTCAATATGCAAATGTAAATGAAATGGTAGAGATGCTGTTTTAGTGCAGACCATTGCATGACTCAGCAAGCCCTGCAGACAGTCTTAAATAAATTTATTTCACATGTTGTTACTGTCGCTAAGCCCCATGCTTTATAACTGGATGCCCCAAAACAAGTTCCAGTTAAGAGTAGCTTTTAGGGTGCAACACAACCTTCATCACTGTCTTCAGTCCAAACAGCTCCACTGAGCAGTTGCTCACATTAGTAAAGACAAAGAGGTTTGAGCCACCCCACCCCCGGCAGTTTTGTCCTATATAACAGACAGGCTGACAGGGCATAAATGATGACAGTTGCTATTCAGTTCTCAGCGGGAGACTCGGAAGGTTTTATCACCATCATCTTACGAGCTGTATCACTTCTTAAGGCACCTGGTTTTAAAAGGAGGGATCCCTAGAGAACTATCATTTCATGTTTCTTGACTAAATACTGTCATTATACTTAAAAACCTTTATTAAAGTAAGCAAAGTAAGTTTAAAGAACTTTTCTTGCTTCACTGCACAACAGCAAACATTTTAAGTATGTGAAACCAAGAAGTAATAAGCACACACCTAAACTAAATGGTTGGTGATTCTCAAAATAAATAAATACTGTACAGTACAACTAGACATTAAATGCATCTAATTACTGAAGGATTTGTCTGAGAGAGAACATTTGGGATTTTACAACAGTCTGCAAGAAAATGCTCGAAAACCTGTCTGCGGATAAGGAGTTATAATCCTTTACAACTCTAAAATATATACTATTTCTTTTTACAACAAGTTGTAATGGATTCAATTTGGTGTCCTTGAGTGTGAAATGTATGAAAAAAAGCCAAAGATAGATGGGCTGCAATGGGAACTGAAACACCCAGCTCACTGCTTTGCTTGAAAGTCAAGTGCTTGTAGAAGCAACAGGCCAGTGGAGCCGGACAAATGTGCCCTGAGGCTGACCTCAGGCTGCCTGGAAATGATCTACCTAGGGATGCCAGAGACCTAAATGTCACAGACAGTCATGGGTCATGGTTTGCTGTCAGTAAGAGACACAGAGGGCTGCTTCTTCTTCATCTGAACAACCTTCTCCTAAGGTGACACATGGGTGGAGGAAAGGAGTGCTCTCAGTTTGTAGTCAGGTCCTATCATAGGTTTTGTTTTCACAGAACTGGTCTTGTGTCAGTAGCTCAGACCAAAAGGAAATGACCTCTATGTGGGAGCTAGCATGAAACAAAAAGCAAAAAAGTAATTGTATTTCCAAATAAAACCTGAAATTGAGGGTTGCATTGAAATGACCTGTGGAAAGAGAATGGGAATCATGGTTCAGAATAATTCTAAAACTGTGCCTTTTTCCTAGGACTCACAAAACTCAAGACTCTCAGACCAGAAAAAAAAATCTGTCTCCCTGCTGATTTCTTCTGCTGAATTATTTGGTACAAGACTTTATAGCAGGAGCAAAATATTGATTAAAATTCTCGTGCTGAAATGTTGACGGGGCATAAAGGACGCAACAGTGATGAATGCTGTATTTAGATATCCTCATTTGTCTTGCGTGTAGCTTTGATGGAGATCTACACCTTTTCCAGGAGTCTATATAATATGCACATTCCATATTTATTACATGTTGCCTGAACTGCTGTCACATTAAAAATGAATACACAACTCAATACGAACAAGTAATTTGTGATAATCACTGTCATACATAAAATTATCCGTGAGCAGATGATGACTGATTATGAATTTGAAACATTAAGCAATGCAAAAGCATAATGGGCAGTAATTCATTTGGAGTAAAGGGAGCCAGAGCTTTTCCTGTGTCATCTGGTACAGTAAATGATGCCTTGGGAAAAAACATCAGACATCAGACACGAGTACTTCAATTACAGGTGGTAACAGGTTTTGTCTGGTGTTAAGGGCTGCATTTGATGGCAGATATGTTGTGCTTTGTATTCATGCCTTTTCATTAACATCTCCAGCATTTCCTACCTAAAAAAAAAAGCTAGTCTGGATGCCTCTGTTCATTTACTCAGCTGTTTAAATGTATGGTATATGAGGAGTTTTATGATTATTATTCTCCTCATCCCTGCAATTTGTAAATTTACTTCATCTTAATCATTTTACTCAATGTTACATCTTAAAACCTGTAAGACCACAATTTATTTTTATATATTTTTATGAGGCATAAATCCATGTGCTTTAAAGTTGTTGACAGGTGCATTTTGAAAAGGGCCAGACTAGACAGACTTGCTTACAATCTGTATGCTAAGATAAGCTGATCGACTCATAGTTGACGCTCTGTAGTTAGCATGCAAACAAGAGCTGACACTGACAAATTATCACCATTTCGCACCTTCACTGACAGTTGTATGGTCACAGCTGTAATTTTCACATTTAGAAAATCTTTGGCATCACATTGTGGCATTTGAGGACACTGTATAATGGATACCTTTACACATTCAGAATTCAAACACTCAAATAAAATGGAGAGCAAATGTAGTGCGCTGTAAATATCGAGTGATTTTGAGTAGATAAAATAATCCACTCGTCTGGGTTAATGTGGCTCATTTTATCATCAAATGTCCCACTTTGTATCACTTGCTCAAAACTCTGCTTACTATTTTCTGGTAACCTGATATGTGCAAAAAGGGATGCATTAAAATTCTAGCCACCCTCAGGGCGCAGACACGACTACATGACCAGGACAAGGGAAAGAAATCTGAAATCTTTTCTCCTGGTAAATATTGGAGGAGAGCTTTCACTCTTCTGAGCGCATAGAGAGAATTGAGGGATATACGTGAAATGAAGCATGAGCAGAGGGTCACGTAGTGGATTAGAGAAAGAAAAACAATAATAGATTTTCTCCCACAGACCTTAGTAGTGACTTAACCTTTGCTCCAACCACAATCAGACGAATCTGTTAATGATTCATTGATTAATTTGTGAGAATGTGATAGATTTACTCTGACCACCAGAGCTTGCTCATGCAATGAGAATACATCTTGAGTACTGTCAAGTCTTTTTTTAAAGCTACATTTTTGCTCTGAGTCACCTTCCTTTCTCTTTCCTGCCTCCACCCCCACATGCAGTAAGTCAGCAGTAGAAAACAACATCTGTCCGAGATGCAGAAATGTGCCAAACAGTCCCCAGTGTCTGTACAAGTGAAAAGTCTGTTTTACACTGAAGCTGCACTATTACAAACAAAATGTTTAAATAAATATATGCAGAAAATAAACTAATTTGAATATATGTAAAAGTATATGATAAGATAAAAGTAACAATAGAGCCTTGATTCTTTGTTTTCCATAGATGTGAGGGACAACAGTCAAACTGTTTCCACAGTGCAACATTAATACCAATTAAGCCCTGAAACTTGGATCCCTGCAGTGAACCGGCAGTTCACTGTGACCACCCATGATGCAACCAATTGGCCGAATCGAAGTATTGGAGAGGGCATGCCCAGGGGTGAGGTTGACAGCATAGGATTACACCTCAGTGTGTGTAAACAAGAGTACAAACACAGTTTTTGTAATTTCCTCCTAATAGAAGAACAATTTGATAGATGAGTGGTTCCTACTTGTACACTGAAGATAGATGGGGAAGGGGTACCCTCTTCACTGAACTTCATTTACTGAACACATTTTCCCTTAGTAACTATTTGATGCACTGCCCTTCAGTGTCTCTCTTTTAATACAAGTCCTTACAAATGCACATTCATGTGAGAGCAAGTATGAATACTTTATTAAAAACACTAAAATTAAGTTGTCTTCTGTCCGTTTACAGATTTAACTTGCTGTACGACAGGTGTTTAACACAGCAATGTTCCCAATGCAAGAAAAGAAAAGAAAAAAAGCTAGCTAGATACTTACAATAAGATCTCGAAGGACATCAAATCCCACGTGCAGTGTGGTTGTACTGCAGTTACATTGTCATATTGTTAGAATTTTTCCAATTAAAATCTAAATTATTATGAAATTTTGTATCAAAACAGTCCTTATCTTAAGGATTTCCTTGCTGATGGTAATAAAATTTACATGTCCGGACTCACAATTTAGAATATTAACATTATTGTATTTCAAGGTGTATTTGTTTTTACCATTTGCATATGAGGGATCCAAATAATGTTACACAGAAAATAAAGAAACAACTAGAAACTATAATTGTAATCAATATTAACTGGCTCTCCATAGTTGCTGACAGTGTGTTGTTAATACCATTTAATCTCACAAACATGGGTCCCCAGTGAGAGTTTTCCACTGTACTGTGACCACCCTTTGTACATTCACTCAGTTTCTAATAGGTCTTCAGTGAAGTATAAAGAAATTAATAACACAGTGTGATTAGCATTATCATCATATTGATATTTTATTATATATTTTTATTTTACTATTATCTTATTCTTTGTTATATGTAGTTGACAGTTAACACATCATTTAATTTAAAGGACTTTTTTAGTTCAACACAATAAGTGGAGTGCTTTTAACAATATTATCACTGGCATTAGATGTTTCCATTGTGAATATGAATAGGTCATTTTAAAGGTATTGGTCATTTTTAATGATTTGGTACAGGATACTGCATTGTAGTCTGTGTGATAACGTTACACAGTGTTTGATGAAGCTGTTTAAAAAAACACTAGTGCAGCACAA